ACTGTATTTTTTCCCTTCAAAAAGCAATATTTTATCAACACGCGAAATTCCTTTTTATCCATTTTTTTCACAATAACAAAAGTTGCTTCACTAAAAATGCTATAATTCACAAACTAATGATCCGACAGCCGTCAAATTTATAGACGCGTCTTTTGAAGGTTAGGACTAACTGAAAATCCTATGGATTTAGTTCTGGTGCCGCCATCTATGTGTCAGGCCGGGGACTTTTCAATTGACCCTAGTATAGTTACTAAGTTTACCCCAAAATATCTTTTGGAAGGAGAGAAAATGGATATTTTGCCACTGGAATTGAAATCAAGATGTACAGTAGAAGATCTAAAAAAAGACAGAGAACTAGCATTGGAAAATTCAATAAAATCCCACAACTATAATAAAAAAATATACGATCAAAAAAGAGAAGAATATAAATTTGAAGTGGGTGATAAAGTATATGTAGAAAATGGAAACCGGCTAAATAGGAAGAAAATGGATGAATTGAGGATTGGACCATATAAAATCTTGAGGAAGATTTCAAATTCTATCTATGAAGTTGATGTTGGACATAAGAAGGCGGAGTCAAACTTCTACCATGCCACAAAGTTAACTCCAGTAGTGAGTAGCTTTTGACAGAACAATCACCACGATGTTGTTCTCTCCGAGGGTGGGAGATGTAAAGGATATCACTACCTACGCCAGTGGTATTCCTTTTCTAGTGTGTATGAAATTATTATAATCTATGGAACTATTAGCTGTCAGTGTGACGTGAGTGACACCGACGATAAATTTTAGAAGGTAAAAGTTAGATTATGTGATCTTTAGAAAAACGTGGAAAATATTGTAAAAAAGAAGTAGTTATAATATTATTTAAATTAGAAGTAAAGGCTTTAAATGTTGTTTTCTGTTATTTCAGGTAAGCTATTCTGTTTAAAATATGTTAATTGTGGTAAAACTTGTGTATAAGTGTGATATGAATAAAAGAATTTTGTTATTTCAGAAAACACANAAATATGTTAATTGTAGTAAAACTTGTGTATAAGTGTGATATGAATAAAAGAATTTTGTTATTTCAGAAAACACAATTTCGTTTTTATTTCGCCTATCATTATGTATGACACCAACAAAATAAAGTTATAAAAAATCTGTTTTTTTTTTTAATGCCTATTTATACCTGTTGATTATCTGTAAAATATGCGCCCTCGGTGATTTTCAAATTTAGTATTGCGCCCTAAGGACAAACAGGTTGCCGACCCCTGCTCTAGGCTTCTTAGTTAATTGGTGTAAGAGTTCGATCATACCTTCTAAAGAATGAAAATTTTTGGGTTCTTTATTAAACTCATCCGAATACGTTGTTAAATTAACAAAAGAGAAAAGAACAAAGTTAATAGATTTAATTAATAAATTTATTAAAAGGTCTAGTTGTTGAATCAAAGATTTGGCACATGTAATAGGGAAATTAGTAGCAGTTTGTCCAGCTATCAAGCATAGCTGGGCTTATGTAAAGCAATTTGAAAGAGAAAAATTGTTGACTTTCACGGAATACAATGATAACTATGAGATAGTTATTCCTTTTCCTAAGTCTATAAATTTAGATTTAGAATGGTGGCTGAGTCAGTTAAATTCTGGATCTTCAAAAATTAAAACTGGACAATTCAAACGGGTAATATCTACATATGCCTCAGATTCAGGATGGGGTGCTGTAGAAGAAAATAAGGTATTTGGTTTTTGGAGCGAATATCAGAAAAATTGGCATATAAATTTTAAGGAGTTATATGTGGTACAATTAGCTTTAGAATCACTGGCAACCCAAGTAAAAAATTGTCATATTTTAATTAGAATTGACAATACCACGGTGATTTCATATGTTAATAAAATGGGTAGACTAAAATTTTCGAATTATATCTTAGCCAAAAAAATTTGAAAATGGGCAGAAGAGAGAAACGTTTTCCTGTTTGCTATCAATATTGCCTCTAAGAATAATAAGCAAGCAGATGCTTTATCGAGAATTAATAATTTAGATACTGAATGGGAGTTAGCAAATGATATTTTTGAAGAAATTGTTACTAATTTTTCAAAACCTATGATAGACTTGTTTGCTAGGAGTTAAAACACGAAATGTTCTAATTTTGTATCCTGGTTTCTTAAGCCAGATGCTATGGAAATTGACGCATTCACGATTCCTTGGACAAAGTTAAATTTTTATGCTTGAAAGTTCTGTTAAAAATTAAGCGAGATAATGCAAAAGGAATTCTGGTTGTACCAGATTGGGGAAATCAACCGTGGTACCCATTGTTAAATTCACTTTGCATTAGCAAAATTTTGTATTTTCCACCACGAATTAATTTATTGATATCTCCCTGTAGGTCCAAGAATCATCCGAGGTGGAGACAAATAGCTTTGATGGCGGCAATTGTATCAAACAAGCGTTTTTAAACAAGCAAGTTCCAGTGGGAGCAGTTGATATTTTATTATCTTCGTTAGCACAGTCGACTGTCAGGCAATATGGGTCTGCTTTAAAGCAATGGAATATGTTTTGTCAACAAGAAGCTATTAATATTTATGACCCAAAAATTGATGAAGTCTTACGTTTTTTGACAGCGCGATTTCAAAATGCAGCAGCGTATAGTACGCTCAATACTTTATCGGCAGCTATTTCTTTAATAGCCAAAGAAAAAATGGGAAAAAACCCTTGCTAGATGTCTTAAGGGAGTGTCAAAATTAAAGCCAGTTAAGCCTAAGTATGAAGTTACATGGGAAAAAGTATTTGGAAGAAACTAAAGAAATAAGAAAAAATATTGAACAACTATTTATTTCAACGGTAAAACCGGTCAAGGCCATATGCAATCAAACAATAAGCCATTGGTTAAAAAAATGAGTGTGAGTGCCATTGATGTTTCCGTCTTCAGTGGACATTCTACGAGACATGCATCTACCTCGATGGCTTATGCCAAAAGTGTAAACATTGATGTAATAAGAAAAACTGCTGGATGGTCGAAAGGCTCACAGATGTTTGCTAGGGTATATCAACGTCCCATTCAGTCATTGTTACGGTTCACATTTCATTGTTCAAAGATAAAACTAATATAGTTTTGTGTTTTTCTGAAAAAAAAAATGCTGTCTCTAAACAACTACCAAAGAACGAAGCACGAAATATAATTACACGATCAAATGAGCGCGCGAATATATTTGATCGAAATTATATGAGAGCCTCGTTCGAAGAAATTACGTCCCACCACAAGTAAAATAGAATCGTCTTATCACCCTACCCTATTTAGCAATTTTCTTTTTATTTAAACTAAATTATTCCAAAAATATGACCAAAGTAGGATAGAGGGCAGGTGTCGCCTTCAAAGATTCACTCTAAACGTTGTGACATCTAAAGGACACGGAAGGTATTACATTGTTAATCTCTTCGAACTAGGCTCTCATATAATTTCGATCAAATACATTCCAGAGGCTTCGGCGCACTCATTTGATCGTTTAATTATTTATTAAAGGACTATCTGACTTATATCAGAGTGATCTAATTGAATTAAGAGAGTATGCACAAAATAATAATAATTACAAAGTTGTTTTCATTGTTATCGATTGTTTCTCGAAATATGATGGGTAAGTTATAAAAGATAAATCAGCAAACAAAATTGTTAATGGTATGAAAAGTTTATTGGAAATTTTAAATTGAACTCCCAAAAATTTACAAACCGATTAGGGGAAAAAGTACTACTCAGTTTAAATCTTTAATGAAAAGGTATAAAATTAATCACAACAGCAGTTACTCAGTGAAAAAGGCGTTCATTGTTGAACGTGTAATTAGAACAATAAAAACTAAATTAATTAGTGTTACATTATAGAATTTCATATTGGTGGATAGATGTAATTGATGGCATAGTTAATGAATATAATCACAATGTATACAGAATAAAAATTACACCCTCAAAAGTAATAAAAAAAAACAAAATGAAAAGTACATACTCGATAACGTACAGTTATATTAAATTGATACATGGAAAACCTACATTTCAATTGGGTGATATTGTACTGTAAGTAAAGTTAAACATGTACTTTCAAAATCTTACACACCCAACTGGACAACTGAACTATTTAAAGTAACACAAATTAATTATACTTACCTATATACATACTTATTAGAAGATTTAAAAGGTAATCCCATTCGCTGTGGTTTTTACACTGAAGAATTATAGAAAAAAATATCCTGATATTTAATTGAAAAAAGACTAAAATGTATAAATAATAACCTTTTCATTACAAGGTTAAGATTTTCAGATAAATATAAAAATTGGTCTAAATATTTTTTTTATTTAAGAAAATTACAATAATGTACTTCATATAAAAAATGAACACCATTGTCAGAGTCTGCAAATAAAATAAAATTGTATGAATGTTAGTCGTTTCAATTAAAATATTCGTTTACTTTCATTTTCCAAATCTCTAGAAAGTGTAGGTGATTTCTCATGAAAACCAACTAGCCCTACCTCCCAGCGATGTATATAAGGGGAGGCATGGGTGGAACCACCTCCGCAACCATCATTACAATAAATTTTTCCTGAAAACACATATAAGTATCTGTTTAATATAAAAAAAGATGATATCAAATAATAAAATAAACATACCATTAGATTTGAGGGTAGATCCCCCAAAAGAAATTCGTGATCTCGTGCTTCTTCATTCATGGTGTTGTTTTATAAATACGGGAGTTCGTATCAGCTTTTATACTAATTCACTAACCAATATTGGCTTCCTATATATAAAAAAAAGATTTTAAAACATCACACAAATTTATAAACATTGTATACANGTAGGGTAGAGCGGGGCTTGTTGAGCATAGGGGCAAGTTGGGCAATCGAAATATCTCGAAAACTATTCACCGTACGTATAGACATCGTATGGCGGAAAGAGGGAGGCGCGGGAGGGATAAACATCACGCGATCGCTAGTGGCAACTGGGTAAGCGAGTGAGGAGCACGGGCGTTTTGTTTATTTTAAGACCAAAAAGTAAAAACGTCATTTATCGCAAGTTTTCGTCTGGATTAGTCAAATGTTATTTGTTTTTAATCAGGTAAGTGTTAATCTTCCATATAATTATCGTACTTTTGATATGCAGAGAGGTTCTGGGTATAATTCTCACGGTTTTTTTATAACCTCACTTTTATTTTGAAATTCTGGGTTGGGGTTAGTTGAGCATAGTTGCTCAACTTACCCCATGATTCAAACAACTAAACTAATGAATGTTTTATTTTTTATTAGGATGCGGACTTACAAGAGAATAACTACAAGATGTTCTTACACTACTGAAGATTTAAAAAATGCTGCAAAGGCTGTGAACGATGAAGGTAAAAGTGTTAATGCCACCGCTACAGAATTCGGTATCAAACGGATGACTTTGACATGATATCTGAAAAAATTAAATGAAGGTGCCGATTCATCCATGGGCTATGCAACACCGAGACAAGTATTTTCTTCTACACAGGAAGATTCACTGAAAAAATACTTGCTACAAATGGCATCAATCTTCTACGGATATTCTCCAAAAGATGTCCGTCGCCTTGCCTACGAATGTGCTAATAAATTCGAAATTGAAATTCCACCCAGCTGGGCTGCAAATAAGATGGCCGGAAAAGAATGGCTTACGATGTTTTTAAAACGAAATCCGGAGCTATCCATACGAAAACCAGAACCCACCAGCCTTGGTAGGGCAACATCATTTAATGCGCAGAATGTTAAAGTTTTCTTTGATAAATTAGCGGAAGTAATGGATAGATATGGATTTACAGCGGCAGACATTTGGAATATAGATGAGACAGGATTATCCACTGTGCTGAAGCCAAATAAAATTGTAGCTGCCAAAGGTAAGCGCAACGTCGGCGCAATGACTTCTGGAGAACGAGGGACTAACGTTACAGTGGTAACTGCTGTATCTGCTCTTGGAAATGCTGTATCTGCTATGTTTGTATTTTCGAGAAAAAAGTTTAAGACACACTTTCTTAATGGTGGCCCCCCTGACTGTATAGGAACAGGCAATGCCAGTGGATGGGTTACAGACGAAGAATTCTATCAGTTTATGCAACATTTTATAAAACATGTGAAACCGTCCATGGAGCGCCCGGTTTTGTTAGTGTTGGATAATCATTCCTCTCACTTGAACGTGAAGACACTAACTTTAGCCAAAGAGAATGGAGTTGTAATGCTGTCCTTTCCACCGCATTGTAGCCATAAGTTACAACCGTTGGATGTATCAGTTTTTGGACCGTTCAAAAAATATTGCGCTGCTGCTCAAGATGCGTGGCTTCGTAACAACCCCGGGAAAACCCTTACTATTTATGACATACCAAAAATAGTCGCAGATTCGTTGCCGATTGCTCAGACAAGTATAAATATTGTTAACGGTTTCCGAAAGACAGGCATCTTCCCGTATAATGCAAACATTTTTGGTGAGGATGGGTTTTCCCCATCATTTGTAACTGATCGTCCTGGATTAGAAAATAGCAAGCCGGGAAAAGATTATCTAGAGCAACCTGTGATGTCCAGCACTGAATTTAATCCCACTCCTTCTACCTCTACAAGCCAAGCTGAACTCGAACCTGGTCCAAGCAATAAAGAAAATGAGTCAGTTAACCTAATACAAGTATTTTCCCCGGAAATTGTAAGACCATTCCCAAAGGCTGGTCCTAGAAAAGTAGGTACAACTAACAGAAGAAAGAGGAAAGCTGCAATACTAACTGACACACCCGAGAAGAACGCCCTAGAAGAACAACAAAATAAAACCACAAAAAAAGTTAAGAAGACAAAGAAGAACGTGGATAAGAAAAAGAAAAAGGGTGTCTGTAAAAAAGTACTCCAGTCAAGTGATGAAAGTGACAATGGTGATTACTCCTGTCTGATTTGTTGTGAAGACTATGTTGAAAGTTTACCAGGAGAAACTTGGATCCAGTGTCAAACTTGCAGGGAATGGGCTCATACAAAATGTGTTCCAGGTGCTGGTCTTACTTTCGTTTGTGTCAATTGCAATAATGACAACGACGATTAAGTTGCTAAGATCTGATTAATATATATTTTTAAATATTCAAGTCTAATTTGAAATAGAAAGACTGAATTTAATCCTAAAGTCTGTCTTAAGATTCGTTGATGTTTTGTTTATTCTATTTTCAGTTAATTACGTAAAGAAATTTACTTTAAGTTTTGTTGTTCTGTCACTAAGACAATTACCATTAAGTTCCAAAGATTAATTATTATTTTAAAGATATAAGCTAAGTATATGAGTAATAATTTAAAAAAATAAGTCTGATTTTAAACAGAAAGACTGAATCTAATAGTGAAGTTATTCCTAAGACAGGTTATTGTTTTCTTGATTCTACTTTTGGTTAATTATTCAAAGAAAATTACTATAAGTTTTGTTTTCTCTGTCACTAAAAGACTATAAATAAAGAACTGATTGTTAAACACTTATTGTATTTCATCACTAGTCAACATTGAACCTATGATTTCATTATACTTTCTTAGTGCTCAACTTGCCCCACACCTTTGCTCAACTTACCCCACCTATGGGGTACATTGAGCATATTTGACTTTCTGCATTAAAACAGCTGTAGCTCTTCAATTTTAATTATTACAAAAAAAATACTATTGACACTTTTGTTAAGCGATAAACAACAAATCCATCAAGCCGCATAACAATTTATTGAGACTTATCATTAAGGAGCTACATCCGTTCAAATAAAAATTTGCTCAACTAGCCCCGCTCTACCCTACTATAAAACATTTGAACATATATATAATATTGTTTGTTTCATGGTGCGTGGGTGTGGATGATTCCATTAAATAACGGTGGGACTGACACATATCTTAAAGACCCAGAATTAATTACACAATGGTTATCATTTCTCCCAAGAAATTTTACTAAGTTAAAAGCAATCTATCAAAAACCTAATACCAACATCGTTTTGCTCAGCGATTATATATTGTATGCAATTATATAATAATTATACTTTAAACTCTGCCCTCAATTATCGAATAAATAAGCATGAAATTAAGGGATTGGTTAATTCTTAGATAGCAGAACCTTCATGTTTACCAAAAGAGATTATTGTATAGAATGTAATGATGTTATGTTAGTTAAATCTGTGGGTTTTATGAAGGAGATGTTTCCAGGTATACCAAATAACATTAGAGTAGTTTTTCGATTTATTAACGGTCACCTTTAGTTCTTTTCCAAGCATTACATGTTTGAATTCAATTCATTTACTGGACGTGTTATACAATCAATAAAAAATACCAGTATTGGGACCAAAACCAGTTTTTTTTTTAGAAAGTATATAAAAGCATTCCAATTGAAATTAAAACAGTTAAAAGAATCACTACTAAAAGTAAATGGTATCTTTCATGCTAACTTTATGAAACATTCAACCAAAGAAACAGATATCAGACATAGAGACAGCGTAGAAAAAAGGACACGACAAAAATAACAATAGTGTAAATTTTATTGTAGCAGTATGACTTGCAGGCAGTCTTTTAGTTTCCCAAAGGTGACACCTCCAGTTTCTATTACTTCTCGAAACTTAATGTTTTTAACAGTTTTTGAATTAAAATCGAAAGAAGCAGAATGTTTTTTATGGCATGAATCTGAAGGAAATAGAGGTGTCTGTAAAATTGGATCATGCATCTTTAACTACCTCGAATCTCTAGAAGATAAAGCCAAGGCAACAGAAACCAATATGTTAGATGTGGTTTCTATTGGTTTTAAAATAAATGCATATTTTGGTATAATTCGATTTATCTGCATAAAAGCTACCCAAATCTATTATTTAACGTTTAAAAGTCTGTTACTTACCCTTGCACTAATTGCTTTTTAATGGCATTTTCGTTTCGTACCTGATACAAACTTGTTATCAGGGAAAAACCAAATGCATAGCGACTAATAATACGGTTGTTGTCTCTAATATTTTTCATCATTTGTTGTTATTGTGTGGTGAAGTGTATTAATAGTTATCGTGATGCCGAAAGTTACATCTGAACAATCAGCGTTACTCAAAAAGTGGATTATAGGGAGAAGTGAATTTACAATTATTTACAATGAACATCTTTTTTTCACTACAAAAGAGTAAGTCTTTGTTTCTATTTTAAAATATAAAGTAATTTTGATTTATTTGTGAAAAAATAAAGCGTATTGATTTTTATTCAAGATTTTTTAAATCGTTATTGCGACCTGCAGAACGTACCGAGTTCTTCCACATTACGAAAGAGATATGTGAAACTAAATTATTCGGCAGTCATTAATGAAAAGGCGGTATATTGCAAATTTTGTCATCGGAACTCCCCAGGAATATATTATTTAATTGCCGTAAAACAATTAGACAAAACCAATAATGTGACAATTTCAAGATTTGTAAATGAAACTCTGACTAATTTTTATCTTCCTAATCAACTTTTAACGATGTATTATTAATGGTTTCTGATGCCGCATCGTATATGACTAAGGCAGCTGAAAATCTTAAAGTATTTTACCCGAATTTAATTCACTGCAAATGTTTGGAACATGGTTTAAACTGAGTAGCAGAAGCTGTTAGGTTGGAATACCCGGAGGTAAATTAATTGATTAGTGATCAATATGCTATGATAATTCTAATGGCCAAAAAATGGGAAAACCCTATAAAGTTAAACAATGACACATGAATACATACAATTATTATCCTAATTTTGGTCCTTAATGTTAGTTATTCCTATTCTAAGCCCTTAGATATGCAACCTATCCCGACTAACTCAGTGTTCCATCTTAAGTAGTTAGGTATTTAATCATAATTGAAAAAAAAGGCTAGGTAGCATAGAGTAAACACGTGTCTCTATTAATTAATAAGTAATTTTGTAATTTGTGTATTAAAATATCAGGTTTATTTAAATAAACTCTATTGGGAACCTCTGTTAGATTATAATATTGCTTAAAACATAATAGTTCTATTGAGTTGTGTAAGATAACCTCAAAATAATGAATATTTACTGTAAACTGTATTCTAATAAAGAGCCTATAAAATTGTAGTCAGCTGTTAAATTTGTTAAATGCTCAACTTATTATTATCAATCTTGTGCAGGTAGAGCGGGCCCAGGAGAAGATGGGTCGTCTGAGAGAAATTGTGATGATTCCTCATTACAATTTGCAAAGCAAACTACTAGATCCATATCTCCTTCAATAAGCGATGCCTCTATTGAAAACATTATTGCAAAAGCAAATGAAGAGATAAATGAAAAAAGAAATTGTTGGTAACTGTAGTGCTATAGAAAAGAAAATTGTAAATACTAGTGATACTCTGAGTAACAAAATAGACGAGGTATCATCTGAATTATCTGAAATCAAGAAGGATCTTACGGAAGCGCAGTCAGAAATTGGAAATCTTAAAGACCAAGTGAAAAAATTAGATCAGATTAACGAAGAAAAAGATGCCATGTGAAGAATTTGACAGATGAAAAGGACTTAATGGAACAAAATACTGAACATAAAATACTCGATGAAATTGCTGAGAGAAAGTTGAAAGCAAAAAATGTTATTGTATTTAAACTACCGGAATTCAATGTAATCAACGATTCAATGTAAAGAACATGATTAAAGATACCCCATATCCAACAAGCTGGTCAGGGCCTTTAGAATAGGCAAAAGTGCAAAAAATTACTCCAGACCATTGAAAATAAAGTTTAAAAATGAAGAGGGTGCCTTGTGGCTCTTATAGAATAAAAGTTTATGTGGAACGTAAGTGTTTATGCAAAATGATACGACATACAGACAAAGAGAATTAACAAGAAAAACAAAGGAGTTAAAAGATAAAGAGGCGGCTGAACGAGGGATATGGACAATCAACTGCAATGGTGGTGTCCCACACATAGTAAAAAATCTTCAATTATATATAATAAGGAAACATCATGAATAACATGGGAAGATTCAACATCAATTACTGGTCAGGAGTCTGTTGATTTACTACCAACATACCTCCAGTAAACTTTTAAACAATCAAGACTCTCAAACTATGAAATGAACAAGTTAGCTGGAGAGAATTTAAACGATTTGAATAAGATCCAAATTGAAAGAGTTCAAATATACTTGGCGATATGTGCAACAAAAGAAAGTCTGGGACTGGTCTGGATGAGATTCCTATGGTTTTTATAACAGAGTGTTCGAAACAGCTTCTTACACCCCTATTTTTACTCTATAACAGATCACTGATGGAGAGAATTTTTCCAAGTAAATGGAAGGAGTCTTTTATTACTCCTATTTTTAAGGGTGGTAATCCATCAGTTGCAAGTAATTATCGTCCAATTACCAAGGTATCTATTTTTGCTAAAATACTGGATGCAATGGTAAGTGAGAAACTATAAGTATTTGGAAAGATTCGTTGACGGTAGACAGCAGGGTTTTGTCCACAGAAGGTCAACTGAAACGAATCTGGCTGAGTATACTGAATTAATATCCAAGGCATCGATAAAAAGAAAGCAAGTTGATGCAGTATACATGGACATATCAAAAGCTTTTGAAACTGTTAACCATGATCAGCTTATAACTAAGTTAATTTACTATGGTATCAGAGATGCCCTATTGGATTGAATATATTTGTTCCTCACTAGCAGAACTTCAAGAGTAGTATCAAGTGGTTACGTATCAGGCTCCTTCAAATTGACCTCGGGAGTGCCCCAAGATTCTCACTGTGGATCACTATTATTTTCTATGTTTGTAAATAATATCCCATCTGTAGTGGTAAATTCGTCTTTGCTTGGGTTTGCAGATGAACTGAACAGTGGATTCACAAAAATAATGCCAAACTCTACAGGATGATGCAACCAGCGTTTCTCATTGGTTTAATAAAAATGGACAGGAAATAATTATAAAGAAGTGTCGCACCGTATCTTTTACAAGAAACAGAGAAGCGATTCAGTACATGTAGTCAATAAATAGCATTCCACTCGAAAGTCTTATCTGCTGAAGACCTTGTTGTTGTCTTTGATAGTAATCTAACCTTTCGTGAACACATTCATTACCTATGCATCCAAGCAAATACAAAACATAACGAGGAAAGCAAAGAATTTTAGTAATATTACTGCACTGACATCACTATACAACGCTTATGTTAAGTCATGTTAAGTCTAAGCTGATGTATGCTGCGTTGATATGGACTCCATCTGAAAGAACATTATCCTATACAATTGAACAGTTCCAGCACAAATTTGTGCGTTTTATAGCAAGGAGAACAGGCTCTC